ACACACACACACACACACACACACACACACACACACACACACATTTAGTCATCACTTATTCCAACAGTTTCCTCATATCAGATAAACAGACATTGCAGAGGGGGATCATTGTTGAGAAATGCGTCACATCCACTTGGGAAAGACTAATTTCCCTGCTGCACCTCAGGCTCCTATATTACCAAGGCTGTGGTGTGGCTTTTGTTCACAGCATTTGAGGAACGACACGTTAAAAATATTTAAAAAGAGGGTAAAGCTGCTGAGGTGCAGTAGAATGTACAGATCCATATAAAACATGTAAGGAGACAAGTGTGAAGAGTGAAATGGAAGCTGGACTTACTTTGACACCATCCGTTTTTTTGTTCAGCAGGCTCTTGGCTACTGTTGAGTGAGAAGAAAAAACAATGGAAGGAACTTAGTTGCCAACTGGAACCCCCCCACACACGCGCACACACACACACACGGACAATGTCTATTCAAGTTTGGCCAATTACATGCGACCTTAGAGAGGGCCGTGCTAGAATTGGAAGCAGAAGAGAAAAATGCAAATCAAGTCAGGAGATTAAATCAAACTTGGTGAATCATTAGTCTGGCAAATGAAATTAGAATCATCAGATGAGACTACAGGAGACACTGGTGGCAGTGCTGGGTAATCAGCACAGCACTGTCCAGGGAATTATCTCTTTAACTTCTCTTTTTCCTATTTGTCCTTCCCTGCCCACTTTCACTCAAGCACCGAGGTGTCTTATCTCAAACACACTACATCATACAAACACTTCTCAAGAGGGAGTGAGGTGAAATGATATGGGGAGTTTATTTTCTCAGTATTGTTATCCAATTAATATTTTTTCAGTCAGCATGCAAGCACAGTTGGAGACAGAGAGGATGATAGTGGCAGGGGGGCAGAACGTGGGGTTTTTTGTGCATCCTTTAACACAGTGAGGGGTTTTACTGTCAAACCACAGACATGTCTGTGTTTATTAACTGATAGCAGCTTTTCTCTGCGACATCAGGTCTTTTAGCAGCCATACTGGAGGGAAATGTTTGTGACAGAAATGTGAAGAGGTACAGGGACAGTATAGTGATAGTGGTATACTGTGATAACTGGTCCGTGGAGGTGTTTATAATTGTTTTGTTAAAAAGCCACGATTCAAATCCCAGTTTCCCTGAGTACAATTTGTATGTGATATTGTCCACCGTTAACACTAGTGCAAATGAAAATGTTTATTTGTGTCTTCTTCTATACATAAAGTCTTTTGTTAAAAAAAAAAAAGAAGGGGGTTCGCTGTCATGTTCAGTGAAGGAAATGGTACAAACAGTGAGCTTTAACCCAAAATAACTGAAAAAACTGTGACACAAAGTCAACAACTAAGAAAGGCTCATATTTTAGCTCCTGCATTACCCGACAAAAGGTTTTAATTGGCAAGTGAGACTAGTATTTGACGATGCATCATTACGCAGCAAAACTGTTCATTAAATCATTACCAAGGAGATTATGCTGAAAAAACTGGGTGCAGATCCAGGAGATTTTGTTTGACCATTCTTCTGTGACACCAACGCCACTTCCCGATTATCTGGACTTGAGAAACAATGGAATTCGAGGATATTTATGCCTGAAGCTGTTTTACCTACAATATGGCTGCACAGAGACACTGTTTATCAGTTGAAAGCCGTACACAAGTGCTTTAGTAGACATGACATGCCTTAGAACCAAAGTAGTTTGAAACTGTGGAGAAGTGTAAACTACACCAAGGACTCTTACCTTGCATATGAGTTACCACACAAGAGGGGGAAGGAAGAAAAACAAAAGTAAACACTGACGGCATGTTTGCACTGACATCGATTGAAGGTAGCTGACAGTTTAGAGGTTACAAATAATAGAATTAACATGAAGGAAAACACCATAAGCTTGCCATTGTCATCTATCATAAAAGGAAAATAATCAATAGTGCTGGACTCAGTTTGAATGTTTGCCCTTTACATGGACCTGAAGATAGGACTTTATCGATCCTGGTCATTCTTTCTCTGCTGAGAGCAGATGAAAAAGGAGTATGGATGAAGCTTAACAGGCCCTAAAGGCCAGAACATTTTGAAAAACAGCTGCTCTGAAGAGAGCAGGATCTTAAACAATATGTACATGTGTAATGTAAGAGAGACAGAAGCAAGGGACAAGCTGTCTTCAGTTTGACTTTATTTCAGGTGGGACTGTCTTGTAATACCAAAAGCAGGACCGCTGTCACATGTCATTATAACTGGTTGACTCCTACCTGAGAAGTTGCGAGTGGCAAGCATGGTGGTCAGGATGGCCCCCTGTGGAGGTACAGAAAGTTGATCTCTTCACTTTCCCAAAAATACAGAAACTGAACGATAACTGTTCTTCCCTAGAACAACAACAGGGACTGCCTCATATTGTATAAAAGCACTTCTTGTCACTTACCTTGAGTTTTCTCCTGGCATTGAATTTCTTCAGGCACTCTACAGTCTCCTGTCTGTGCATCATGGACGCCACAGTGGAGCGTTGCTGTAAACAGAAAGGAAGCGTGTGGATTTATCTGAACTCATGAAGGAGAAGAGATGAACATGTACGAGTGTGTGTTCGTGTCGGGAGACGTACGCAGATCCAGGGGTGTTTGAGTGCGTCTGTGGCAGTGACTCTCTTGGCTGGATTAATGGTCAGCATCTTGTTGATCAGGTCTTTGGCCTCTGGAGTCACCGTGTCCCACTCGGGTGATGGGAACTGTTAACAGAAATATATACACTTGACAATGATATTTAAAGAGATGTATAAAAACAAAGCCAGCACAGACCAGCGTGAAGGGGAAAAGACACTTTTGACGAGTCACACCTACTTTCCCTCTGTTTTTATGTGCAAAACTAGAATTACCACACCGCATACATACATTTGTCACCATGACCTTGACCACTGAAATCGAATTAGTTCATCTTTGAATCCAAGTGACAACTGATTAAATATGATAGGAATTCCTCAAGCCAGTCTGGAGATGTCACATTCAAGAGGCCAAAGACATGTTTTGTGAGAGAGAAGAGTTACTATGAAACTCACATCATAGGCTCCAGCTTTTATCTGCTGGTAGAGTCTGTGTTGGTCCTCATCCCAGAAAGGTGGATATCCCACCAGGAGGATGTAGAGAATCACACCTACACACACACACACAGGCTCCACAGGTTAGTATTTAAAGACAGCTCATGTTATGATCAATTAATACATTTTAAGCAGATACTCAGAAATAAAATATAATGAAAATAAAGTAAGACAGAAGATAAGACTCTTTATTAGTCCCACAACATGGAAACAGGAGCACATAAAAAAAAAAAAGACTTCAGTAAAGCAACAAGAAGAAAACATGCAATATAAACTCAAGGAAAAATATGGAAATATAAATGGAATAGCTATAACAGTGACAACAGTTCGCTGCATCCTCCAACAGCCGCAAAAAAACGCTTCAGCCGAGCCAAATTAGACTTTTTAGTATTCCTATTACTTCACCTGCTGCCCCTCCCCCCTTACAATATTTCTTTAAAATGTGTTACATTAGCTGTTCGGTTGAGTACTTGCATTTAAAAACATAATATCCTTACATTTTTGCCATTACCTCTGAAGCGCAATGAATCATGGGACATGTCGGCTGCATGTGGAGGAGCCTTCGAATTGGGAAAGTTTAGTCGTGCCGCTGTGACGTAATTGGCTTACAACTCCAGCCTCGGAAGGATGCAGCCCCTGAATTGAGTCACAGCTTATATACAGTAAGCTGGATGGTTCTCAAATTGCTTCCTCTTTCTACCTGCTAGAGGTCTGGTGCCTTTCAGTCTCCCACACAGTTTGCTGTTTGGTTTGCATTAGTTGAGGAATTAACATTTCCCCACTGATTAGTGACTTATTATGTAGAGATGTTTTTTGATGTTTAGTTACTGCTTTTAAATGTTTTCGTTATTTAAAAGGTTGCTGTGTGGGCCTCCCTTCTTAGGTATGCTCTTGAGGAAGTCCAGGCATAACAGTGGTAAGAAACACAAACCTGCGCCAACGTTTGCTGGTGTTGCCAGGGACAGCCGGATTTCATTGGCTGGCTTTTTTCCAGGAAAAGATGAAAGGTCCTCTGTCTGACGGCGACAGTGTGACCGCGAACACAAACACAGGCTATTGTTTCTGTGGACCCAGTGGGCAGGCACAGGTGTGTGGAAAGGAGCACGAGTGTGTGTTTTCAGACAGCGTGTGTGTTTGACGTCTTAGACCCAGGTGGCCTGGCCCATCAGAAGTGTGTGTAATGAGCATCAGCGATGATTAATTCAAGAGGCAGGAGCCCTCTGTACACCTCTGAGGTAAATGAACTATACCAGACAACACACGCACACACACACCAGCAGAAAGTGTTGAATGAAACTCAATGACACTCTAAGTATAATTTGTATTCACGTGCCTTGATTGGACAAGAGGTTTATCAGAAGTTCATTAGTGGCTAATAAAGCTAAAATAGCAATTTATACTTCAGATTTCATCAGCACTCACTGTTTATGCGTAAATTACACAATTATTGTCAGTATTGTAGTGCTTGGCTACAGGATAATCATGGACAATAATGAGGTGAAGAACATAAATGAAATTCTGTCAGATAAATACTGTTAGTGAAAAGATTTTTTAAATCCTGGTGCGTAAGTACCCTCTGAGTGGTTATTCTCAGACCACAGCAGATGGAGAAAAAAAAACAGTAGACAAGTCCACTGTGCTGAGAACAGAGGTAGGCCTGGCTTTTCACGAGGGTTATTGTGATTGCAGCTCAGTACATGCCATGATGTTTTGACAGTCCACTGGGCCACTGATGTGGTTGGCGATTGTCACTCTGCCTGTAACATATGGGCCAATGTGTGTTTGAGAGAGAGAGAAGTGCACTTGTTTTAAAGTGTCACAGACACTTGTCTCTTAAATAGAACATCAGTCAATTAACGGTTAATGGTTGGTTAAACAACGTAGGTGGAAAAAAAATCATCACATGCCTAAATGCGAAATTCCATCCCATGCAACTGGCCATGCCTTGTTGTTGCTCTTATATGGCACTATATTCCAGTTCTGGGTTTGTTCCCTCATAGTTGAAGCACTTATTGTCAGTCGCTTTGGATAAAAGTGTCAGCTTAATGAAATGTGATGTAATGTAATGCAGTGCGAGATACTGAGGTGAAAGATATTTACAGAAAAAAGCCTGACAACTTGGTGTCAGCAGGTGTGAAAGGACAGCGAAACAGAGGAACCTTGATTTCACTAGTGTGTTCTCTGTGTAGCGACCTGTGATACTCCCCAGGAAAAGCCTTTGATTGGTTGTTTCAGACTTTTGCATTTGTGTGGAACTAATAAACCTGTTCTGCTGGGTTTCCCCAGATATGAACGGGAGATAATCTTACCACAGGCCCACATGTCCACTGGCTTGCCGTAGGGATCTTTCCTCAGCACTTCTGGAGACAGGTACCCTGGTGTCCCGGCAAAGCCTGCAACAACACACACACGCAGACTGACATTAAACCTGACCCCCTCCTATATATAGGAGTATTTTAGAAGCTTGTTGTCCAGTAAAAGGACAAACACTTCACAAAGCTGTGCAGAGGAGCAGTGGTCCCATAAAGTAACAGTTGTGAGCCAAGGTTAAAGGAAAACATTCCTCAGTGGGTCAGAAGTTTGGCTCACGACCAGCAACATGCAGCCTAGTTTTAAACGAAGTTCCAGCAGACTGGTGCTAAAGTCAGAACACAATGTGAGGCTGGAGCTGGGGGAACAGACCAATTATTTCTCTGTTCTTCAGGGGATAGGGAGAGAAATAGACCTGATATCCGTCCAATCCAAACTTGAGAGCCAAGAGCGGTGGTACACCCAGTCCCTTTAGATAGGTGTGATGTAACAGGGGAATTTCTGAGGCTCTGAATGATATAAACGGCACATCTGTGAATCTTCATTTGATTTTGCCATTTAAGACAAAGAAAACTGGGACAATAGTGTAATTGTTCTATTCCAACTTCTGCAACAAAGTGATGAATATTGTCTATAAAAGCAAATCAAAGCACTTGACATCAAAAGTTATTCTGAACCCACCCATCAAAAACTATGTTTCCAGTTTATTGAACCACTGAGAAAACACAAGTTGCATCAAAATCCCACACCCTTCCAAACTTTTTAGCTCCAGAATAATGTAGAAAAAACAGGAACTTGAGCCTTTCAAAATAAAATTCCTACAACTTTACCATGTCAATTACATATTTCATTAAACTGTGTTAATAAGAACATTTAAAATACGAATCCTAACATTTCTGCAGGGTATGAAAAGAAAAGTTGTCTGTACTCACCGAACCATGCCTGCTGGTCTCCCTGCACCTCGATGGCCAGGCCAAAGTCGGCCAGTTTAACCGCTGCCCCCTTCAACTTACTGGCGAGGAGCAAGTTCTCCGGCTTGAAGTAAAAGTACATGAAGGAAAACTTTCAGTGCCTTGCTCTGACATGATTCCATTATAAAATTGAAATGACTGAGTTAAAGACTCAAAGCCTTTCTAGTGTTTTAGTAACTTGAAACACTACAGGGAGGGTTATTATAGCTCACAGTGTAATAAGAATAAGGAATGATGTCATATACTGTGTCAGCTTGTAGCAGTTAGCACTAATGGCTGAGCTGGAGGCGAAAGTGTAGCAGATACTGTGTCTAGTTGAGGGAGTTGAGACAGAGACAGACACCACTGACTCATGTTGAGCCTGATTACACTGTGGTTCAGTCAGGGGCCACGGCCGATCTCAACCCAGCGGCACAGGTGGACGTATGTCAACAAGATGCTGGCAGGTTGCGATCAAGCCCGGCCGGTATAGATAAGGACTGGGTGAGAGAGGCTAACGGTGACAAACCCCAGCAAGTGGAAGAGGGGAGGACGGGGCTTCGGGAACAGTTCACAGAGAATGAATAATGTATTTGCTGACATTTTTGAAGCAGGAAATTATTCAGAGTAACTGAGCTCCAACATAATAAAAAACAAAGGGGGGGCATTGTGCTGATCAAAACAAAAAGCTTTTATTCTGCAACAATTATCCCCAGTTATCTTTTCAGCAACGTGTACCCTGGTTATACAGCATGCCATTATTCATTTTGAGCCTGTCACATACATTCATTCTATCACATTACTTTATTTTAAATATGTGTAGTATTACATGGAAGCATGTATCTGCATTACCACAAAAATAGGACAATGAATCTCTATCTGGAGAGATTCTGTGCTATCGATGCAAATCAGAAAGAAATCCACAGAAACTAGCATTACAACAACTACAATAGAAATTATGACCAAGGGGAATATTAAAAAGTGCTAATACAGTTTAAAACCTTATTAAAGTCTCATAAAATATAAGATTGGATGGATGATTCTGACATCACAATAAAGAAAGCCTCTTTCTGTTTCTTTATGAAGCTGCTATCACTATACTTGACCTTTTTAAAAGCAATAAAAGAAAGGTTCAAATGCAAAATCTGACCTCCAATCGTCTGAGAACTAAGGATTAGAACATGCTATTAAACAGAACTCTTGTGTCCTATAATCCTGTCCCTACCTTTAAAATGTATTAACTTGACTGCATCACACAGACCACATGCCATTTGCTCAACTTGTAGTTTCATTTTATATATTTACTATTAGATCTGTTTGATTAAAACTTTAGGTCCTCTGCCCGGGCTTCGGTGTGCTGTGCTATTATTGTGTTGTGTGTGTCTAGTCTTTTGTTGCAGGGTCCTGGTTGGGCGGAGTTGGAAGCCATCAGGTAAGTGGAGCCCGCTGCCCACTGCCTCTCAGATTATAAAAGACCTGCTGAGCCTGGCTCATGTGGACGAGCTGCCTCCTCTCTGAGTTTTGCTTGAATTTTGAGTTTGGCAGTAATAATTTAGCATCCCTTTTTTTTGTTGTCCTGCAAGTCCTATTAGATTACTTTGCAGTGTTTATTACCTTAATTAAATGAAAATTAGTATTTTGCCGATAAAACCTTTCTGTTTTAGTCTTCCCTTATTCACTATGGTCTCCAAACTGGGCAATGACAATATGCAACAGTCTTCTAAACATTATGTTCAGCCACTATAAGTTGAAGAACACACTACTTCTACTGCAGGAAAACTGTTGCCAGGGTTCATTTTCCAGCTTTGACAACACTTTCCTTAACATCCTCCCTCTCTTAAAAGTATCTTTTTGTTTGTTCACTAAAAACACAAAAATTAACTTGGGTAGAAAGAGGATTTTTTTTAAAATTTCTAATCTCAGAAGCTTAATATCTGAGAGGAACATCAGGCTGGGTGGTGATTTTAAGACAGAACCTATTAATCCTTTAAAAATAGGTAATTGGACAAAATCCTACTCTAGTAACCCAGCCAATATGATTAAGAACTTGATATCTTCAGGCCTACTACATATTGTATTCAGACAGAGTATATACACTATATCTTTATCTAAGGAAAATATGGATGAGAGCAGATTTAATGTACGTGTGAATAGAAATACACATATGTGACAGGCGCAGAATGAAGGTCAAACATGCCGTTCAATGGAATTCCTTTTATCAGTGAGTGTGTTTAGTGGCTGTGTTTGCTCGAGCTGTTAGTAGAGCGTGTGGGAATCCTGAGTCGTGCAGTTCAGGAGGGCATGCTGTAGTCAGAGGTTTGAGGAAGAGGAGGAAAGGAAGGGAGGGGGCAAAAACGGGAAGGAGGGAGGGCAAATGCATTCATCAGCATCATGCAGTCATTGCAAACACGCGACCCCGATTTTCTTCACCACAGCCCACCTCAAAAACACCCAATCCCAGCCCTGGAAAACAACCATGTAACCTAGTAGATAGGCAAAAAGTGTCAAATGAAGGATAAGAGGAAAGGAGGTAGAAATAGTTTTAAATGTTGCTGTGTAAGGCACTGTATTCCCTAGGCCCAGCTACCTAACTATAGCCCCAAGCAACCAACTTGGGTATCATATTTCTTTCTTAAATTTGGTCAAAGTACTTAACTTCTCAGTTAAAGTAAGTTATGCATTTACTAAAAAGGGATGTGACAGAAAAACAAGCGTCATCCCCTAGAAAGAACATTCATTTACTGCATTTTACTATGAGTCACAGCTGGTACACCACAGATTGAATAGGCATTCAATTCTTGTACTTGAATCATCATGACAAAAACATCTGTCATCTGATAAAAACATCTGTTTTTGTGGATACAAAACTAAATCTTCAGGCCGACACATAAAGATTTCTTGAAATAAGACCGTGACTTCAAATTACATGATGGCAAGAAACCAGTGACTGAACTTTAAATTTCTGTTCGATGTGACAGTGAAAGCTGAAGATGAATGTGCTGAGAAAACAGATAATACACACAATAATCTTTACTTTCAGATTCTGAGTTCATTAAGAGACGATGGCCCTCTATATTGTTCAAAACTGCAGTGACAAAGCATCTTAAATTTGCTATGGTCCTGACTTTAGCCTCCTAATGCTCCATCTCCATAACACCAGCTGCCAAGTCTTCTGGGAGAAAAACTTGATTTCTAAGAAATTCAGTTGAAATAATTTTAACTGGTGGCCACAGCATAAAGACGTTTACATTACATGGAAGCTTATGGAGTTTCTATGTCATGCAACATTGAGTTTATTACCAAATGAAATGAGGGTACAGATTGGAGATAAACACTCCAACAACTTGAGGGTCCCCTCTCTTTGCAAACGAATTACCTCCGCGAAGAAAGTCATGTTTTCATTGCCGTTTGTTTGTCTTTTAGCAGGATTGTGTAAAAACTAATGAACAGATTTTAGTGAAACTTGGTGAACGGATGGGACACAGGCCATTGACCTTTGACATGGTTTTGGACAAAGGGACAGATTGTTAATTTATTGAAGGAAATGTGGGTTCATAAGGGGACTGTTGGGCCTTGGGGGACAAATGTGGTCTACTAAGCGCCATTCAAGTTATTATAATAATGAGAACAAAGTAATCATAGCCGATAGAAACAATGGCCAAGATTAAAACAATAAAACCCTCATAATTAACTGTAGTAAAAAAACTGTTCCTCATAAGCTGCATCCCTACAAGAAAAGTTCAGCCTTATGATCACAGATGGTGCTATAGGGGTGAAGGTGCTCAGTCTGCTGTAACACCTGGACCTGATGACATGTCACTAGAGCCTTAAGGTGTTCCAGCCTTTAATTACTACCTTATGGCTCTCAGGCCTCACACACACTCTGCTGTTAAACTGAATCTGTTCACATGGTTAATGACTATCAGATTTAGTTTAATGTCTTGGGATTTGGGTGAACTAACCCTATCAGAAAACAAGGGTGAAATTCACATACACGCGCACACACAAGACTAGCTTTCTGTATGTGTGGACAAAGTAAAGTTAATATCAGAATGATTAAGATTTATGCTCCTTGCTGCTGGTGTGTAATAGCTGTAATTGGATTCTGTCTCACACAGCAAGCTATATGGTAAATAGATTTAGTGGTCCTCTGAACCAGCCTGGGTTTCCTGCAGTAGTTTGGAGGACTTCTGCTAATACTGACAAATATACTGCATTTGATGCCAAAATGTTGTACACAAACAACTTTTTTCTCCAGGTGTTTTTTTTTTAATTGAAAGGGGATATCCTGCATTAAAAAGACATTACTGAGATTTTGTAGGAAGAGACTAGAAGAGATTGAGACTAGAAATGATGGCCAAAAGAGTAATAAGTGAGACAGAAAAATGTCACCAGAGTTGAACTCTGTGCAAAGCCACTCTGCGATTAGTCTTCCACAGGAAGCAAATGTTTTATTCACCTCCTCGCCTACACAGATTGGAAGTGAACAGGAGGCGATGGTTTGCCGCTGATACATTTGCTCATGTTTGACTGGGCCCTTGAGCTTTTAGTGTCTTTAGAGGGGGATGTGAAATCTGTTAAATGTCCTCAAGTGATGTCACTTGTGTCAGCATTCGTTGGGTCTGGTCTCATCTCTGCTAGAGGCTCCTGGTTACATTAACTGCTATTAGCATGAAATGTCCAGATCTCTGAGCAAACTGACAAGAACCTGCCAGGTTTTTGAGAGAAGAATTTGAATAGTAAAATAAGATATCTCAGGTTGAGCTGCATCGAATTTGATCCTTTATGGTTTGGAGTCCCACAATGTCGGATAGAAATGTAGAGCTAAAATGGTGGAGTATTCTTTCAAGTTGAGACTTCACTGTGACACATACTGTCTTGGTGGTGCTCCACAAAGAATTAGAACAATTGACGACAGCAAGAAAAATCCATTTGTCCAGACGGTTCACATTGACTCTCACGCTTTACAAGAAATTAATAGAGTCGGCCATGTATTGATTTCTTGTGTGCATGTTTGAGCATGTGTTTATGAGACTCTGTGCTGCTCAAAATCATTATCGTTGAGATATGAAATCACTTGAATACACACACACACACAAAGTGGCAAACAGTGTTTTCCCATAGTGCGTTCTCTGTTTGTTTGTTTTTGGTTGTATTTGTTTTGTACTTGTTTCTGCAGCCAGCCATGGCAGCTGCCTGGCAACAGCCAATCAGATCACAGCGTGACAGCAGTCAGCGAATGCAAAGAGCAAGCTTATTATGGCTGATGGTAAACCAAACCTCAGACACACCCAGGTTCATTTGATTGGCAAATCCTGAGCATTGGGAGCAGGCCACAGTGTGAAAATCAGCCTCAAACGAAGCCAATGTCAACATAATGTTTACTTGTGTCTAAACTTCAACGACATTCTGAGTTGAACATGGTTTTTCATCTTCATGTTCTCAGTCAGAACTCCCTACCTCCATGAATAGAAGTTAGGAATCTGTCATGGAGGTAAATAATTGACCACATACCTTGCTGTACTATGGGTAACGAGGGAAGCTGTATTTCAAGCAGAGTTGAGGAACCTTTTTCTGCATTTACTTTTTCCAGCGTCCTTTGCAGGCCTAAACTACTGTAAACACACAAACATCTCGAATGGGACGGCCTGAACTGCCTCTGCTTGGTGACATGTCTGATGTTGAGACATGTAATGTCTTGTTTTAACGAAAACACCTCGCTCAAAGCCTCACCTGACATGCATGTCATTCCTTCCTCTTATCAAACTCAGCCGTGGTCCCACACAAATGATTCTTCAGTATATTTGTTGTTTCATCACATTCCAGAGAGGAAAAAAAATAGAACTATCTTGCCGCGTCCTTTTTTAAGTATCTTGTCTCACATCATTGATCTGCCTGTGAATGTTCTGTAAGACAAATTGAAATGTAGGCACAATTTGTCTGGTTTCAGTAGCTCCACAGCAGCAATGAGACTTCACTAATTCCCCTTGTGAATGAGGTTTCAACTTCTTGAAAGCTGCTTGTTGGGGACAAACTCCACTGAAGAACTTCAACTTAGCCCAAGAGCATTTGTCCAGGAAACGTATCCAGTTTAGCTGAATGTTTCCAGTTGTCAGAACTCTCAGTGATGACATGCAACAGCTACATGTGGATTTTGTTCACATTGACCTGACAGGACAAGAACCACCCTGAAGGACATGTTGTCTTCTGTTATTGAAGAAAAAGTAATTGTGAGTAATTCAGTAGTTTTGGATTAATCCTGACAACAGACAAACAGAAATAACCACCTTGGCAGTGGTTAGAATCCAGCAAGATACCTGTGCTAAAACAAGCAACAATGTCCAATTCCAGCAGAGAAATAATGAAAATAAACACATAATTCATGCCTTTTAGTTACATTTAACTTCTAGAAAAAAAATGACAACAATACATCAGGGAACTATCCTGCAAACCAGGACAAAATCTGCAACCATCAAAGCCACATGGTCCTTAAAGTCCAAGCCCACTTTACTGAGCTACAGTCAGCTCGTCTCTTCTCATGACTTGTGTGACATGTGGGGGAGCAAAATGTTGTTGCCAGGGACAGAATTCAAAGGACTACACTGAGAGATGTGCATGTAAATACTTCTGCCATGAGTACATCCAGGTGGCCATCGACTTGCACTTCAGCTGTATGTGCTAAGTAAGTTTTAATTTCGGCGTTGAACATGCTTGAACACTCATGATAACAAAGTCCCTGCCTTCATGTGCGATGAAAACACAAACCGGCACTGAGAGGTTCTGCTACCGTTTGTCGTCATGTTGCTTAACGAAGAAACCAACAAGCTTAAAACCTGTCTGTTTACTAAATATTTATACTTCATATTAACCTGTCAAGAATGTACCTGTAATATTGAATATCTAGCATTAAATCTATATCTATCACTTTTATCTGTTTTCATTTTCCCTTTGTTTGTGTTCACTAAAAGGACTTATTCATTCATTTATATGAAACATAGATGTTCTCCAGACGTATCTTCTTACCAAGGTCCACAGAGTATGTGCTACTGTTTACAACTGCAGAGCACATTAAAACTTTATTGTGGCCATTAGGGTGGTGGTAAGTGGTCTGCCCGCTCAGTGAGGTCTGAAGCTGATATTTTATCGAAACCTGACCTAGGAGAAGTTAACCAGTGTGAAGTTTGGCAGGTAAGAATGAAATAAAGCATTGACAGAGAAACGTCAGCGTGGAGGTGGACAAGGAAGTTCAAACAAAAGAAAACATGTTGGAATGTGGGGCAATCAGAGTTTTGAGCTCGTTTTTTCATGTACTTACCTTGAGGTCGCGGTGGACCACTCCCATCTGGTGGCAGTGGAGCACAGCCTCTAGGATCTGCTGAATGCAATGACTGCATGCAAACACCAGGGGGCCATGGGTTAGTGACAAGCTACCACTCACTGTCTGTGGCTGTGAGCTCGCTTTGACACTCGGGGAGTTACTGGCCGTGTTAGTGTGACAGTTGGGGGATTGTACAGCAGCGTGGCAACTGACCCACCCAGAGGCTATAATGATGGGCAATTTGGTCAAATGGATCATTTCCTCAAACGTAATCAACACGTTTTTTTTATTTCTGTGTGTTGCCACCGTGACAGATGCTGGAAAGAAAAACATGGCTGCAATTATGCCATCATCTGCTACTCACACAACATGGCCAATTCTCTGCCCAAGTCCCAAAACAGAAGTGGTGTTAGCTCCTGGCCAATCAGAGAGGCCAGAGTCAGACACTGAGAGACTGAGGAGTAAGGTAAGGCTTCGATCTGTAACATGCCAGATTTACAGCATCATGAGTCACAAACTAGATGCTACTCACATCACCTCCACAAACTTGTTTGGCTGGACTGAACAGAAAAGGAAAGTCTGGAGTATTTTGGTTGGATGAAGCACTCATTGGTCATGAAGACTGTTTTGGGGATCGAAAGGCACACAAAAAAGTTAGTAAGGGGACGATGATCATTTCGTCAAAAGTAAAGAATCAACTTTCTGGGCTACAACTATCAGTATCAAAGTAAGCTAAAAGTTTTAAAATGCTTCCAGAGTGGATCCAATCAAACCTGAGGTAAAAGAGAAACTAGTGGATCTGAAATGTAATGAAGGTTGATGTAATGATCCTAATTGCCAGTGGAGGTGCTGTGAGTTAAAGCACTGATGGTTTTAATCCCTCAACATCATTTAATTTGATATCAAAATACAGATCAAAGAGACTTTATGTCAAACTCTCTGGAGTCCAGAATTTAGATTTCCAATTGTCATACACTTAAGATAATCTCTGAATCCACAGAATGGTCTCAATGACCGCTCTGTCTCCGACTCCTCACTCAGGTCTCAGCCTCTCAGTGGCGGGTTCACAGCATGATTTTGGACAGATGCTACATGCACTTTGTGCCCCGGCATACAGGAGAGGCAGGCCATGATGAGATCTACCAGCCCCCTCCTCCAGCACGACACAACCCCGCGCCTCCTCTCCATCCAGCCTGCCCACAATGCCCTGCAGTAAGTGGCTATATAAACACTCCTGTCAGATGGCGGTGTGTGAGGGTGTCTGGTGGTGGAGAGGGGGGTGGGGGTGGTTTTGGAGGAGGCGGCACGCTGCGAAAGGTTAACTAGTCGACTGATCAGGCAGTGGAGGAGTGAGGCGAGGTGCCACAGGTGGGCAGGCCTGTGTCTTTTAGCCGTTACTGTGGTCACTTACTAACCTTTAGGTCCCTGTGCACTATGCCATTAATGTGGCAATGATTTACACTTTCTAGAATCTGCTGTATGCAGTGACTGTGGAGGAGAGAGAGACCAGGCCAGAAGCAAAAAGGAGAGGAAGAGGGAGAACAGGTAAATGTCAGGAAACAGGCAGACAGAACACACCACAACACATCCAGTTTAAACACTTAATTTACAGAGGAAGAGTTTTAAATGAACAGTTCAGCATTTTTGCAAATATGATTATTTGCTTTATTTTTCAGAGTGAGATGAGAGGGTCGACAACAATCTTGTTTGTGTAAGTTCAGTGCAGAGCTGGAGACGTGAGGCTCTTAGCCTAGCTTAGCATAAAGACTGGGAGCAGAGGGAAACTGCTAGCCTGGCTCTGTCCATGCCTCGATAAACACCTGAAATGCAAAGATGACCTCACACAACCCACTTCCAGTTTTAAGAGGGGTTAGGAATCGATTGCGTTTTTTCTAATTCCGGTGCTAAATCGATTCTTTTAAAATGGTTCAGTTACAGTTGACAATAAGAACAGCTTTTTATTGCTAAGGCAAAGTTAATTGTTAATAGTTTAGTTGTGTGCTCAACTTAAACATAAGTGCAAAACTCTAGACACATGTAGATAACAAAGATCACTTAGTAAATAAAACCCAAGCAAACCAAAAGACACTAAATAAATAATTTTCTTAATCAAGCAAAATATTCCGGCAATGTAGGAGCCCAACCCTAGTTTAAAGTACAAATTGTCATTGTAGAACTAGCTGTTTCCCTGTTTCCAGTATTCATGCTAAGCTAGGCTAACAATCCATACTTCAACACACAGACATGTGATTGATGAACTTCACGCAACACTCGTTGAAACAAAGCACCTTGTTGAACTGTTCCTTTAAGGACATTTAACACTGAGAAATAATCAAACGGTATCATGCATGATCTTCTCATCAATAAAGCTCTTACAGATGACAAAATAAAAAAGTAAATTATGATAACAAATAATATCAATTACTTATAAATAAATAAGTTTAACAAATCAGAAAAATCCACTGCAAAATAGAACCCAGAACCTCAATGATATAGATCTCAATTTGCATAAACGAACTGAGCTGCTTAATCTACTCAAAGACAAACTTCAACCCAGCTGGATGAAAACAAACTGAAAAGTCTTAGATGAAGATTTAATGGGAGATACTTTGGAATGAAGCGGCTTTTCTTGACAAATATCCAGTTCCATTTTTGAGTGGATTTTCAATAAACTGGAGAGAAGGTGACACTGGGAAAGTGGATCCATGACCAGAGGACAACTTTAGTTAGAACGGGAAATGTGGAAAGAAGAGAGTTTAGGGCATAAAAGGCATATCAAGATGTGACAACTGGTTGTGTTCTTGTGGATGTAGACATTGATATGTAGGTTTTTATTGGTGTAACACTGTGAATTATATCTACCTTGATATGCCTTCATGGTGCCAAAAAAGTTTTAACGCTACATTCATAGATTAACTCAACACTGACCTGGCATCAGCTTCGCTGTAGTACTCCCTGGCAACAATGTCTTCAAACAACTCACCGCCGGTAACTCTGGAGGAAGAACAAACACAGTGAGGGACAAACATTGAAAGAGAGAGTTATAAAGAAAAAGGAAAGAAAGCAGAGAGGTTTGAGAATGTTACCCAATAAAAGAACAAATGCATGCTTTTTAAGGCTAAATATAAACTCACTACTAAAACAAACATGCGTTTTCCAGAAGTCCCCCGCACTTTACAAAATAACACAGACTGGAATGTGTGTGACAGAATGGAAGTGCAGTAATGATACAGTACCAACTCTATGCTATGCTATGATGCTCCCTACACTGAGGAGCTTTGAATAGACATAAAAACATGTTTAAGAGAGAGAGAGAGAGAGAATAGTCAAAGTCCACCACAGTATAGATCAAACTCCAAAAGCACAAAAAACTGCACTTCCCACAGTGCACCTCAATAATGGCTTTCGTTTGACCCTCATTTCCTGTTAAGTGCCTGTGTCATTTGTGGGCTGATGTAAAAAGCTCATTGGTGTCAGACATGACAAATGTCTGAGCAGGGCAGCTGTAAACTGACCTTCATCTGTAAACTCAGTGGAGTTTCCCCTGTTCAAGTGCGGCAAGATTTTTAAAAGTGGGTCAGTGGAGCAGTTTCCTCACGAAAAAGGAAAAAAAAAAAAAACTAGAAGGATATTTTTCCATGGGCTGTGGAAACCACTGTCGTGTAGAGTCTTCAGAGGTTTCTATGTAAAAGTGTGGTGCAACTTTTAATGACTTTGGTATTGAGACAAATTCAGCTGTGTTATTGTTGGCATGCATTCAACAGCTTTCAAGTGACCCACAGTTTATTTTCTTTGGCCCAGTGTGTTTTCATCATCAGTTGATTTTCAGCTCACTTACTATTAAATAAAAGTATTTTCTTTTTAAGGGAAAAAAGAAGAGGTGTGTTGTCTTTGACCTTAGAAGATAACATCCGATATTCTATTTTATGGCCCCTAGTAACACTAAACACAATGTTTAAGGAAATGTTTTCCTTTATAGTTAGAGATAGCGAGAATAGTAAATTAGATTAACAAACAACAGTTGAAAATCTGCAGGAGAGGAGGAGGAATGAAGGAGATGGTGAGTTATGGAGGCAGACATTCAAAGGAAGGAAAGAAGATGAAAATGTATTGATGAAGAAAAGAAACAAAATACACTAGTGTGTAATATCACATACAGTTATATCGACAGCAGGTAATGAGACAGACAGCTCATATTTTACACTTCATATAAACAAAAGAATTTGGAGGAAACTAAGCATCAAGCTCATGTTGACTCACAAACTGAAATGTGTCACGGTGGGTCTGTTGGGATGGATGATGGTAATTTCACAATAACTATTTATTATTTCAAAAATATAAGGATGAAATGTGGTCTATTAAATATTAGGTCACTCAGATGTAAATCACTACTTGTCAGTGATCTGATAACTGACCATACATTTGATTTAATCTGTTTAACTGAATTCTCAGACTTTTTATCTGAGTTAGTTCTTAGCACAGTCTCTTCCCCCTCTCCCAACTTTTCCAACCACCTCTCCTCTCTTCCCCATTTTTCAATTCTCCTCTGATACCCCGAGTAATGATGCAGTGAAACAAAGCGTATAAGGTGTTTGCTCTGTGAAAGCAACCTAAATGTCCTCTGATATCCTCCTCCGAGCCGTTTGAAACTGTGTAAATTAACTTTTTTTGAGTCGATAATGAGTGTCGGGGCTTGCGGACACTTGGATGACACCACAAGAGCAGTATGGAGGCATGTTATGTTTTTTCTGTTGTTTTATTTCGTCTGCAGAAGTGGTCACCTGGGCTAAAACCTGTGAAACTCCGACTGTGGACTCAAACACTTCACCCACCCCTCCATCGGCATAGTGGTGAGTAGATAATGAGTGAATTTTCATTTCTGGTTGAACTATACCTTTAAAGCTGCAAAAGAAAAATCGTGCACTTACAAGTCAAAGACCAGATAGTGGAATCCTTCCTCTGATATGCTGTCATGGAGTCGCACTGTGAGAGAGGAGGAGGAGAGAAGCGAAAGTTATTTCATTATGTAAAATAATGCTTCACTGAACCAGGTTACCTGCCCAGCAGCAGCAGGACGTAACACTGCGAATGATGAACACTTCATTGAACCACGAATTGAGCACTGAGCACCAGAGGGCGGGAGTTTCCTCTCAGTGTCAAGTGTGGTTTAGAGTCTTAGACATCACCAGTAGAGCTTTTTCTCTGGATGACGTGTTTGTTGTATTACAGACACATTTTAATTTCTATTGATTTTTGGCTTTCTTATTTTAAATCCAAGCTTCCCAGAGTCTTCAATGAGGTTGGCCACTCTCTATGTCGGGGTATAGGCGTGCCTTAGCCCCGCCTCTCAGCACTGCATTCTACAGGCCTTTTTATTTTTATTTCCAGGGACGTTAGAGCCAAAACTTAATTATTCCTCAAAGGGACTGGTTATGCATAAAACATGTTATTGGCAAATTTAGAAGTTTAAACTGCACATTCTGTACTGTTTCTGCTGAGTGAGCTTCTGAATGAATGGAACAACTCCCATCTGCTCTTACATCATTAGACTTAGATCCAATTGCGAAACCAAGCTCTACAACATGGGCGGACTCCACCTCATTCGCCCGAATGTCCTTTTGGCCAAGATGTGTCTGGTGCAGTATTATTACAGAGGGACACTTTAAAAACACCATTCATCTTGCTGTCACAGAGAAGTGCAGGTCCTCCAACCAAACCACATTACACAGACACACACTCTGCATCCATAAAAGCACTAATGTCTAATCCAGTCACACGGATCCCTACAGCATACACAAGTTTACTAATGTGCCAATGAGCGTGTTCAATACTGGTCTTTTTAAGACACAGGAAAGATTATGCTCCTGAATGATTACACATAATTTCAACAAAGCTGTTAAATTGCATTTGCTTACGATTCATCACTGTCAGTTATAGCACTTAAGCTTTCACATTACCCGTGTGACTATACATTAATTATCAGTGTCCGTTGCTCTCCTGCAGAACCTTGCCAGCTATTTTGTCATGATAAACTCTTCAATGATGGCACAGTCAGGGAATATTATTTTCTGAATCTCTCCATGTGTTTTCAGAGCAAGTTCAGACACCAATATATAAAATGAATTATTGACTATATTCACTTTCATTCTGTCCCAGAGGCTGCAGATCCAGCTGTGGACAGACTGCATACTGAGATCCACGAGTGGACATTCAAACATGCTGCTGAAATATCAATATGAATCTATATTCATATACACAGTCTTAATAATCCAAAAGTAGTAAGAGCCTGTGGCTACAGTTTGTCATTGAATTAAACTGTGGGAAACTAATGTTTTTACTATTTATGTCTGTTTTAACGATTTACATGAATGAGACCAAGTATCATATGTAAACTCACATGCTTCTGCATTTGGATTTACTGGCAGTATCACTCCTGTTCTATTTTAGTGCTCAGGTCTTGTGAATGAGCATGAATGTCAGTGTCTCTTTGTTCATAAAGAGGAAGATGAGGGCAATGGGAAGAAGTCAGGGTTTCAGTAAGTCAATCGGTGACACTGCTGACTGGATGTGAAACAAAATGGAATAAAGTGACAGAGCCAAGTGAATCTAGCATGGACTGAAGTACAGTGCATTATGCGGCAGCAGGGTTAGATATACTTGGTTGCAGCAGTGAGATCGTCTCTTCTGGCCTTACTTTATTTTGACACAGACAGCTACATTTAATAGAATTATACAAGCTATTTATTAGTGAGACACATAATCAATGAAAACCTACAAGAATAATACAGTTCAACAGAGCGGTTAAACATTGTGACTGTAAGGGTCACATTACATCGGTCTTAATCTGAGTCTCCCAGTTAAACTTTGATATATGTTATTTACAGGATTAAAGGAATTGTTCTGTATCAGGATTCTCCAGTATTTAGAGCAACTAAACAAGATGAAGAAAAAATAAGTAGGTTATGCTCTTTGGGATAAATAGTATGCTCTATAGGAAACTGGAAAGGTTGAAACTTGGTGTTGGAAAGCTTGAAATCTAATGAAATAAGTTTAAGGGGTAGAAACTATGATTTGAAGCCTTGCATGTTTTTATAAGCAGAAAAAAAATTTCAATCCCTGCAAACATTATTTTGTATTCAAGTTTTCCTCTCTCTCCTCTCTTTGGGCAACGTCTATGGGCAGCCTGTTAATTCAAAACACCCCAGTATCCGACATGTGATCAGACTGTAATTCACCAGAGAGCAAACAAGGAGCTAATCCTCCAGCATCTTTTTCAGAGGGTGGAGAAACTCTAGTTTTCCTGATGTACGTGAACCGGTTTTCAGATCGCCTATTTCCAAAGTTTCACTGGAAGAAAAGTGAAACATTTGAAACTGTGTGAAAATGCGTTGGAGAAACACTACAAAAAGAATGCTGCAAGAGAGAAAAATCAAATACACAATAATATTTGCAGAGATTTTTTTTAAGCTCATCGGAACATATGCAAGTATTCAAAACTTAATTTCAATCGTGTAAAACCTTTTTTGTTGGATTTCAAGCTTTCAAGTTTTTTTTTCTCCAGTTTTGGAAGACAGCATGATATTCATTCCATAACACGCATTTCAGTTATTTCAATATGTCATATGTCAATATTTCATCTCTTATTCAGACTTTCGCAGCAGGTTATGGGGAATACTTTTTTTTTTTTTTAACTGTGTTTACTTTACTGTTGAAAGCTTATCCTACATGGATTTGATAAGGGATTCAATATTGGTTTAATCTTCAATAAAATACTAATCAAACCCAACCCCAGACCCGTCAGGTTAATAAGTGATCAATTGCAGTAGCTCTCCCACAATTGATTTTGTCTCAGTTTCAAGAACACATGATTGATTTGTGTTTGGCCTCTTATCAGGCCAGTAGGGAATAACTCATCGGCTCGTTTCAATATTTTCCCTGGGTAATATGGAGTCTGCTGGTAATACCTTTGGTTGTATTATCGGTGTGTGTGACTGTATGAATGTGAAAAGCTGATTCCAATCTCAGGGCTCAAGAGAGGTTCAAGAGAGGTTCAAGAGAAGTCATATTGTGAGATGATGGATGAAAACATAAGAGCTTTGTTTGCCCATCCCCTGAACTACACCTGAGAGATCTAACGCTGTAATTACTTATTTCTGAGGTTATAAATTTGATATTTAATGCACACAGAGGGAGTGAGACGTCATCGTCTGCTCAGGACACCATCACTCTACTATATATTTATACAGAAAAAAATATGTTTGCTGCTGCATTAATATTTAAAATCTTATACATGGGACCCTGAAAGGAGTGAGGGCTTTACCCCAGCTGGATGCTTTGTGAATGGAATTGTAATGGGAGCCACACTACGTGCTAACAGCTAATCGCCATGAGACAGGTGACAGATCTGTATCTAAATGAGTGCAGAAATTCTGCTATTTAAAATAATTCACATTTGTATGTTTACTGTTCACGATGTATAGGAACAGAAACAAATGTATTCTTTACTTAACATGTCTCGTTGAGTAGAACCATTTCACAAAATGTTTAGATTATGGATTTTTGGCTTACTTTGTTACTCATATCAGTATCACTGTGTGTGGTTTTTCTCCTCAGTTTTCTCCTCACTACTGTCTCAAGTGAAACAGTTAACATCTACTGAGTTCTATTGTGTTGATCGTAAACTAACCACCTATCAACTCTGTAAAATGTGAGATTACTAAGTTAAAGTGAAATAAAGCCTAGACACGGGAACCCAAACCTCCTAACTAAAGCCTCCATTGTAAGATGTTGGTGAGTCGATTTCTGACACAAGGACAATAAACGAGTGGACCAGATAAGCCCCTATCATCCATTCGTTTGTCGCTGCCACCCACTCATCTATCGTTTTCCCTTAAGGCACAAAAAAAGGGGCCAAACAACCAATAAGTACCAGTTTTCAATGTGTGGCAAAGTCGCTACTGAGGTGGTAATTATAGTTGTTAGGCCTCTGTAGCTCTCAAAGGAAGGGTGTGTGTGAGTCCAGGGAGGGTTCTCTATTTAGCCTGAGTATAGAATGATTTAAATTTTCTAACCTTAACATGGCTTAAGGCAGAACTCATTTACATTTACAGTTAAGAGTCTGTATCCTCATTTCCTTTGCGTTGTGCACCTTAACCCTGTCACCATACTGGTCTAATTCTGGCAACTAAGTTTTGGTTTAAAACAGAATAAAAACAGAAATTTACGATTTTATCTTTGAATCTTCACAACAAAGGGACTAAAAAAAGGATTATCTTGAGTTATCTTTAAAATATCTCTGTGAAGGAGTCAATTAAAGAAAACCTACAAATGAGGAGAAGCACTGGTGAGATAAGAGCAGGGTTTTTCAGTTCTTGGACCGATGATGAGGTGGGACTGATACTGACAGTGGCAGAGAGTTGAGTCGTGACTGATATGAACCAATCGGAAAGTGAATGACCAATTTCAAACCGAAGAACTTTCAAATTAAAACAAGGCAGCAAGATTATCTGTGTTAGGCGACCAAAAACTCTGAGGTATTGTGGGTGAGGAATATTCTTCTGTGTAGATACAGTACATAGTCAAAAGCACTTTTGGAAAATGTATAAATATTAAATGGTATGTTCTATACATCTCTGGAACCTCTTGTATGTTTTTAAACACATAAATTATATATTAATATAATTACTTTTCACAAGACATGACAGGCAAGACACATAATCACACATAAACAGAAGGGGAGGGCAAGTTACCGATGTTGGGATGCTTGAGCAGACGGCAGATCCGGGCCTCTCGCTCCAGCTTCTGGTGATCTGCAGAGAAAAAAATAAATAAATAAAAGATTTGTCAGGGGAGCAAATCTTCAAACCTCTCTGCAGAGATTCCACATATTAAACACCGCCCACCTCTCCCTCCTGCTGGGAACAGATGAGCAGTAAAAGCAACTGTCACAAGTCATTAGAGCAAACAGAGGACAAGACTCGGTCCAACGAAAACTCTTGACACGTCTCCAGAATTACTGCTAATGCATTAAATGTTCAAATCTGCTTATTGAGGTCACAATATAAGCCAATTCTCCATGGCTTATCACTGCTTCTCTGCTTATTCACACAAATACAAGTTTACTACACTAAAGAACAATAGGATGGACATTGTATAATGACTGAATAATAAAGAAGAATTTCATTAAGACCTAAGAGCTATACATGCCTTCAAATTGAAGAGTAAAAACAACTGTAGCAGTCAGTTACAGCTCAGCCATTACTGATAGGATCATTGCTTTAAACCCATATCTGTCCCCAGTACACGAAAGTGTAATACTGCTCTAGAGTAGCCCTTTCATTCACAGCCCTACAAACCGACGCAAAGCCAAAGAGACTGAGCTGGAAGATTTTCAAAGCAGTCCTAAAAGACAAAAAGCACAAACAGATGGCGTTGTGTGTATATAGATAGCAGTAAAACGTGATTGATCATTGCAGATATATCCCTGTGGCAGTGATAGATGCAACTGGGGGGATGAGATGTAAAGGACCGAGACAAAAAGAGTGGAGACATGTGAAAATCATTTGTTGAGCAATATAACTATTCAGCAGCTCTGTGGCACCGTGCTACTGAAGCAGTCATTCAATTATTTTTCTACGTGGTAAATAAATTCAGTCAGAGTCTCAGACATGAAATGTAATTCTTGAAATTGGAAATAGTGGTTCAACAAAGGCTTAAAATGCATTGATGGAAAACAGCGGCTGCGCTGGCAAGTCAACAGATCCATTGCCAAATTCCATCTCCGTATAAAGACCATGAGAAACTAGAGAACGCTTTGGTGAAAGCAAGTGGGTGTACCTTGTCAGACAGCAATCATCATGTCAGAGAAGTAACTAAAGTGTGTGTTGTGCTGAAGTTTTCTGAACAACCAAATACTGAAGGTTGCTTCTGTTACAGCTCAATCTTACGAAAACCAAACCACTTATTGTGAAAAAAATAAAATAAAATCACAGACACAAATGCCAAATTTGGGCTAAATGGTGAAAATATAACCATCTAGACTTGCTTGTTTGGTAATGCAACCATTATGATACATATATTAGTGTTCTGTTGCCTGACAATGTGTCATAAAAAAGCCACGTCTCTAATTAACCAATTAACATTTATATATGATCAGGCCTCCATGTTGTTTAATCCAGGTCCTGTATTTGATCTGTTTGACAGAACTATGAGCATGTGAAGTGTATAAATGTTAACATCCACTTACAGAATTTGCTCTCCTGTGAAGTACACTCAGACAGTGAAGGTTATTTTTTTTTACAGGTTTTGTCCTATGCCAACACTAAATCACAAATCCTCTCCTGTCTGCAGAGAGCAAACAGTAGAGAACAGTAGAGTTGCTGTCGAGAAAACCGTTTTAGCAATACTAGATGTTTTTCCGGAGTGTGAGGACAATTAAATTAAGAGGTTGTTTTCGAGATGGGGTCTGAGTAAATTACATTATACAATTTTACTTCTGTGTCCTGGAGACAAAAAACAAATCAAATGTTTTATCAGCACTTTCACTTTACTTGATTTTACTGAATTAATAATATAAGCAATAACTGTAGCAAATAAATGGAGCAAACAGGTTAAATGATCAAAAAGCACTTATACACTGTAGCAAATGCAATGGAGGAATAAACCATCATGTAATACAATACTTGCACCTGCACCTACACCAGGTTACAATATGTAAGAGTTTGACCCCATGAAAGTACAGGTGTCAGTGGACCCAAAACACACTGAGGACATTTTGTGATCTGATTGGCCAGATTACCTTCACATGTGGTCAGAGACAAATGTGAGCACATTAAGCACAAGTGTAAATGCAGCTAGGCATTGCACAGGAAGAGATCCTCTCATTATTCAAGACCCCTTTAGAAGAAATGAAGTCTAGACCGATCTAAAGCAGGAAAACACATAAGAATAGCTTCTTCAATGGTACCATAGAAATGTAATCAGGGTAAAATCAATTCTAGATACAATCTGAAATTGAGACCAGTATAATTACTGGTGTAAGTGAATTCTAAGCAGTCAGTCAAGGTCATTGGAAAATCAGTGGCTGGATCAGAAAACAGCCACATTAAACTGGGTCTTCTATGAAAATGGAGGTACAGTGTCAGGTGGAGCTCGTGCACAGAATGAGCAACAGCAGGAGATGACACTGCCTTAAAATAACGTCACAATACTGCAGGCAGTTCAACCAATCATGACATTCATGAAGATTTGAAGACATATCAGCCAGTGGTTGTAGACTTGGTCAAAAAATAAAAATAAACTGCACTAAAGATATATAAACCATCTCTCAGGTCATTTAGAAAAATTACACTGTTTTATTGAGGTTATTTTTAAACTGTGCATTTTCTTTCAGTGCTTATCTTGGTCAATATTCTTGAAAAAGAACCCATGAGATTAAAAAAAAAGTTATCAATATTAACCTCTGAATTAAGTTAACATTAACATGCTAAATATCTGCATTGGTGGCGCATTTCTTGGTGTATTTTACAATATTCTTTTGTCAGTATATATCTTTGTAATACTACTCTGTTCATTAAAAATGTGGTTCCCCAATACACAAGTGCAACCACAACCGGGACCAATTGTTTGGCTCCTCTGTGATCGTATCTTGGCTGCAACCAGATGTCATGGCCTCATCTCTAATCACACCTTGGTATACAAGTCTTTTAATCCTAACCTAAAAGGACCAATGACATGTGCTTTCACAGAGGTTTTAATCCTCATGGTCACCGGGTTGAAGTCAACATCTCTCCCTTTCTCCACATCAGCATTTCGATCCAACGCTTGGCTTGCTGCTAATCTGTGATATAACAGGATTTGCAGCGTGAGTGGTGCTCAGTCACGATCTCCAACCACAAGCAACTGGTCTTTTCCTTCTATACTCTGTCATTTCCTTCCTTTGCTTCACTGTCTTTATTATCAGTCTGCTGCATGTTATTTGGAGCTATTCCATGTACTTTTCCAGTACCATTTAAAATACAGTATTGAAAACTGACAAATATTGAAAACTGAATATTATGGAATTCAATTTTGCCTGTTTGCCTTTCC